TGTACACTGCTGGGAGAACACCACCAGTGCCATGTACACTGCTGGTTGAACACCACCAGTGCCATGTACACTGCTGGTTGAACACCACCAGTGCCATGTACACTGCTGGCAGAACACCAGTGCCATATGCACTGCTGGTAGAACATCACCATTGCCATGTACACTGCTGGTTGAACACCACCAGTACCATGTACACTGTTGGTTGAACACCACCAGTGCCATGTACACTGCTGGTTGAACACCACCAGTGCCATGTACACTGCTGGTTGGACACCACCAGTGCCATGTACACTGCTGGTTGAACACCACCAGTACCATGTACACTGCTGGTAGAACACCACCAGTGCCATGTACACTGCTGGTTGAACACCACCAGTGCTATGTACACTGCTGGTAAACACCACCAAACCATAGTAACTTGCTGGCAAAACACCAGTGTCAAGTACAACCTGCTGGTAGAAATACCACCATACCATGTACACTGCTGGCAGAACAAACCAGGCCATGTACACTGCTGGTTGAACACACACCAGTGCTATGTACACGCTGGTTAACACCACCAGTGCTAGTACACTGCTGGTAGAACCCACCAGTGCTATGTCACACAGCAGGTAACCTGGTTGTCAGGGGTAGAATTCAAGGTGAAGATTTTTCAATGAACGTTTGAAAACCAGCCAGCCAAAGTTCAAACAAGCCAGCCAAAGTTCAAACAACCCAAGCCAACGTTCGAATAACCCAGCCGGGGCTTCAGATCCAACCAAAATTAACCAGCCGTCAACTGAACCCACCAGTCAACCAGTCAACGAACCGGCCAATCATCCAGCTATGTAACCAGTTAACCGGCCAACCAGTCAGTCACCCAGGTATTCAGTCAGCCAGTCACCCAGACAGTCAAGCAACCAGCCAGTCAACCAGACAGTCAAGCAACCAGCCAGTCAACCAGACAGTCAAGCAACCAGCCATCATACCCAGACATTCAAGCAACCAACCAGTCAACCAGACAGTCAAGCAACCAGCCAGTCAACCAGACAGTCAAGCAACCAGCCAGTCACCCAGACATTCAAGCAACCAACCAGTCAACCAGACAGTCAAGCAACCAGTCAGTCAACCAGACAGTCAAGCAACCAGCCAGTCAACCAGACAGTCAAGCAACCAGCCAGTTACCCAGACATTCAAGCAACCAGCCAGTCAACCAGACATTCAAGCAACCAGCCAGTCACCCAGACATTCAAGCAACCAGCCAGTCACCCAGACATTCAAGCAACCAGCCAGTCAACCAGACAGTCAAGCAACCAGCCAGTCAACCAGACAGTCA